ATAAAGAAAGCTGAGTGCCAGAGAACTGATGCTTTTGAACTGTGGTGTTGGAGAAGACTCTTGCGAGTCTCTTGGACTGCAAGGAGATCCAACCAGTCCATCCTAAAGAAAATATTCATTGGAAGGACTGATGCTGAAGCTGAAACTCTAATACTTTGGCCACCTGATGCAAAGAACTGACTCCTTGGGAAAGACTCTGATGCTGGGAAAGATTGAGGGCAGGAAGAGAAGAGGATGACAGAGGATGAGATGATTGGATTGCATCATCAGCTCGATGGACATGAGTTTGGGCATGCTCCGGGAGTTTGTGATGGACAGGGAAGCCTAGCATGCTGCAGTTCATGAGGTCGCAAAGAGTTGGACATGACTGAGTGACTGAACTGAACTGATAGTTCAACATAAAAGTTCTGATATTACAGTCCCCATGGCTTCTCCTCATGAAATGAACGTTTCTGATTGTGGTGATCATTTGGTTGCAAACTAGGCACATTATTGATGACTGTTTGTTGCACACTGCCACTGCCTACACAGCCTCTGCCACTACTGTCCATATGCGTTATCCCACCAATAAAAGGCATTAGAGTCACGGACTGGATCACTGGAAGAGATTCTCAAGTCTAGTCCCAGGCTTTCAAGTAAATAAGAAACTTTTTAATGCAAAAATTGAAAACTGCCAAACTTAAATGTGTCCATTAAGAATCGGTTATTTGAAAAGTGGATGATACATGTTAGGAAGGGGCCATGATGGGAAGAGGAACATTAGCAATATGAAGCTTTGGAGCATCTGTTTTGGAACAGTGTATAGGGAAAAAGGCAGAAGGTGTGACTTTCTGCAGATCACTGACCCTCGCCATAAAGTGAAAATGAAAATCGCTCAGTTGTGTCTGACTCTTTGCAATCCCATGGTCTATAAAATCCATGGACTTCTCCAGGCCAGAATACTGGAGTGGGTAGCTATTCCCTTCTCCAGGGAATCTTCCCAACCCAGGGATCAAATCCAGGTCTCCCGCATTGCAGGTGGATTCTTTACCAGCTGCGCCACAAGGGAAGCCTGACCGGCATACTAAGCCAACTATAAATCTGGTGTTCAGAGACCATCTGTGTGACACAAAGCTCCCCTCTTTCTAGTACACCATGATTCCTCTTAACCAATGCCTACTGATTACCTGAGGAACGTGTACATGGCAGAGTGAGACGGAGGGTAGATTTTAAGACAGCATGTTATGATTCCTCTAGTATTAGACTAGTCATTTCTTTCCTAATTAAGCTCAGAATTGGTAAACTTGGGAAGACCTATTGGGATTTTGAAGTCTGCCGAAATCCCTGCTGTAGATGAATCTGTATTTTTCTGTACTTTTCGCTGCTCCATTTTGTATATGTACTTTTTCCTGTGGGAGAACCTCCTTGGCAAGAGCCTCTGAAGATGGCATATGTGTGTGCAACTTCATCCAACAAAATACTGTAACCACTACATTTCTTTAATGTTTTAAGGACTGTTAATTGTTTCTTTCCTGTTTAAGTCAGGAATGCTGAGAAAATTTAATGGAAAAAAAATGTCTGGAAAAGAGATCAATATTTATTAATTATCAACTAGCAATTTGTAGGTGTTTATTTCTTAGAGTTGTGAGCTTTACGTGACAATCATTGCTGGGTTAACTGTTCTTAAGATCACTGTCGATTATTACCTAATTAAATGATTGTGTTGGACCTGCTTTTAAAGAACATCTGCATTCAAAAGATTCATAAATGAGTCCTATCTGGTCTCTGAAAGACAAGCTTTCATTGCTCTCAAAAGATGACTGAGGCTCCAGGGAAAAGAAACTGAGTACAGACAATGAAAATCTTTTTTTTTTTTCCTTCAAAAAATAGCAATGTGTAACTAGAGTGAATCATTGTTTAAATTAAATTAATAGCAGCCCAAAGGAGTCGTTCTTGCCGTTTGGTTCGGCTGATGCTGACTGTGTGGACACAGAAGCAAGGGAGGATCTTGGATGCTGGCGCATTTACTGATGCAGGGAGTAAATGAAAGCTGCATGGACTGTGCTGTGCTTGGCTGCTCGGTCGTGTCCGACTCTCTGTGACCTCAGGGGCTGCAGCCCGCTAGCTGCTCTGTCCCTGGGGGTTCTCCAGGCAAGGGTACTGCAGAGGGTTACCGTGACCTCCTCCAGGGGATCTTCTAGACCCAGCAGTCGAACTGGAGTCTCCTGCATTGCAGGCAGATTCTTTACCAACAAGCCATTTAGGTAGGAGAAAAGGAAAACTTTGGATTTTACTTTTCATACATTGTTTTTACTCAACTGGGAATCATCTCACTTTTCCACTGTGTTCACATTTATTTTCTCCTTTCACCTATCTAATTTAAAAAAATGCTATATTCTGAGTCTCTCTTTTCACATTAAGAATGTTCCGTTTTGTTTCCTGGCTTTTAAGATCTATGAGGCTTTAATGGCAAATACTGTACATATTTTATCTTATGTGGAATTTTAGGTCTTAATTGTCAATGGAGGAGTTCCTGCATTACACTGGAAAAATCTAAACATAAACTATGAAATCCTAAGGAGAAAATTTTATCCTCTCCTCCAAATTTAAAGTTAATTAATGGGAAACAGTTGAATGTCATATTCACTGCCCTGAGCCTTCCCACACTTGCCAAGTTGCCCAGGACCGTCAGCTCAGAGCAGTTAGTCATAGCATTGCTATGCTCATTCCTACAGGGCACTAGCAAAATGGGCACCGTTGTTTTCGTTCTTTGCTACTTTATATACATGTGCCTGGGAAAGATAAAGAGAATTGTGAAAATCATACATCAGTTTACATTCCCTGTGGAATAATCCAATCCCTCGATCTTAAAATCCATCAAGCAAAACCCTGGGAAGCAAATTCACAGATATTATAATATCTATTATCTTCTGCAAATGGCTCATACATATTGATATTAAAATACTATTAGCACAATTAAAAGCAAAAGATGTAATCAGGTAATTCACAAAAGATGGAATTATAAGCAGTTTAAAAACCCATACAAAAATGTTCATTTTCATTATAATCAGAGTAATACATATTAAAAAATGGCTTAGCATGTTGTGCTTATCAAATTACTAAAGATTTATAAAAATGAGGCCAGCTTGTTAAGGAGACACACTTCTAGGGTGAGAGTGAATTGACGACAACCTTGGAAAAGCAATTTGACAATAATGATACTGAAAATGTTCATAACTTCTTATTCAGTAATTCTGTGTCTAGGACTATTTCCTAAGAAAATATCCTTAATATAGAAAAAGCTAGAAAGTTGTTCATCCCTTTGTCATTTAAAATATAAAAAGACTGGATGCAACATAAATGTTTAACAATAAACAAATGGCTAAGTAAACTATAACTCAATCGATGTCACTGTGCGTCTTTGTAAAACAACTAAGCAGAAGTTACTGTGAAGATGGAGATGGTGATAATGTTAGTGAAAAACACTGCACATATGATTTTATAAACATTATTATTTTCGTTATGAGAAGCAAACCAAGCAGAATACACAGAAGCAAAAGCTGGAAGGAAACACAGCATAATATTTCCTAAAGTGATGGGAACTAAATGTTTTCATTTGTATTCCACACTTCTCCCACTTTATATATTACACATATTTCTCTTATAATGGGGCTTCCTCCAATAGCTCAGTTGGTAAAGAATTTGCCTGCAACACAGGAGACCCCAGTTCGATTCCAGGGTCGGGAAGATAGGCTGGAGAAGGGATAGGCTACCCAATCCAGTATTCTGGGGCTTCCCTTGTGCTCAGCTGGTAAAGAATCTGCCTACAATGTGGGGGACCTGGGTTCAATCCCTGGGTTGGGAAGATCCCCTGGAGAAGGGAAAGTCTATACATTCTAGTATTCTGGCCTGGAGAATGCCATAGAATCCCAAAGAGTTGGACAGGACTGAGTGACTGTCACTTTTCTCTTATAACATTTATTTAAAGAAATTAAAAGTACATTAAAGAATAAAGGAGGAATGATAGTCAACATCGAGCAGAAATTAAGCTAATAAATGTGCGTTCAACCCTTATAGTCCATTCCAAAGGTGATGGTATTTTCACTGGCCTTTGCAAATTGTCATCTTTCTGAAAGTTGATGTTTGAATGGATTTCTGGGAAGATAATATAATGCCTAAAGTGTAAGGAATTAGAATGCTGTTACTTCTAACCTGCTTTATTTTATGTTGCAGTGTAGTTGATTAACAATGTTATTAATAGTTTCAGGTGTCCAACAAGGTGATTCAGGTATATGTATGCATGTCTCTGTTCTGTTTCAAATTCCTTCCTTGATTAGGCTGTTACATAATACTGAGCAGAGTCCCCTGTGCTATACAGCGGGTCCTTGTTGGTTATTCATTTTAAATATAGCAGTGCATAAATGTCAACCCCAGGATGCTTCTCTTGCTTTATAATTAAACTGTAGAAAGGAATATGCAAGGTCAAGGAAAGACCCTCTAAAAAGAACAAGTACTTTGAATGGGACGAGTATCAAGGAACAGGGGCTTCCCCAGCGGCTCAGCAATAAAGAATCTGCCCGAAATGCAGGAGACCAGGTTCTATCCCTGAGTCAGGAAGATCTCCTGGAGAAGGGAATGGCTACCCACCCTTGCCTGGAGTATTCCTGCCTGGAGAATCCCACGGACAAAGGAGTCTGGTGGGCTACAGTCTGTAGGATCACAAAGAGTCTGACACGACTGACGCAACTTAGCATGCATCAAGGAACACATACCAATAGCTACAATTCGCCTTATATTATAAAATACGGTCCAACTTTTTAAGACAAAGTAGGCAATTTATGCTCATTAATATACTTCAAATACATTCTAATTATTATAAAGTTCATCTCACACTTTTAAAATAATTGTGTAAACTTAATTACTTTCCAAACCTTTATTAAGTATCTTTTTGCTAGAGGCTTAGACATTATTATGTAAATTCTTAGGCACACGAATTGAGCAAAATTTAAAATGCCACTTACCTGCCATGCTTTTTTTCTTTGAGAAATCCTTATGTAGCCATAGGCAAATGTATGAATTAAAAATACTCCCGCAAGCCTTTTTTTCTAAGTAATGCTGCTCTGTTAAGTGAGAAGTGTCAGTAAACTTTATCTGTACCTCCGTTTTTTCTCTCTTCTTAAAATCTTCTGCGTGTACTTTGTTCAGTTACAAACAGGAAATGTGGTGATGGAGGCTTCTAGAGTTTTGATCTGAAACCAGCAGGCTGTTAAATTTTTTGTGAAACGTGAGAAGTAAATCCCACAAGCCTCTGTACCCTGGTATTTGAACTTTTATTAGTACCTAACTAACGTTAAAACAATTAATAAAATCAACGTGTAAATTAGACTAGGCAGAATGAGATGGTTGGATGGCATCACTGACTCAACGGACATGAGTCTGAGCAAACTCCAAGAGATAATAAAGGACAGGGAAGTCTGGCATGCTGCCGTCCGTGGGGTCACAAAGAGTAGGATACAACTTAGCGACTGAACAACAGCAAGGATTTTCCCATCTCTTAGAAGAAAATCTAGGGATCTCCTCCCAAGCGAGGTCATGTGAAGACAAAATAAAATACACTAACTGAGGAGGAACGGTAAGAAGCCCCCAGGCATGCTCAGCTGTTGATTGTGTTATATTTGAGGTGTGTCAGAGGAAAGAAAATGAACACTCTTGGAACACTTACTGATCAGGTACCTTCTGTACCTAACCCCACTGGGAGATTGGGTGCCTGCCTTCTTTCCTGCCAACCTTGCCCCTGCAACGTGAGTCTCTCTATCCAATCTAGGGCCATGTGGTGACAAGCTCCAGCTCTCTCCCATCCTGGAGTCTCAGTATCAGAAATCCTTGAATGTTAGTGTGCACAAGTATGTTATGTAGCATTAGTTTAACATGCATATTCCTTAGCCCTGCTGAACCAGAATATTTGGAGTGCAAATCTGCATTTTCACAATTACCCTTGCTTATTTTAATGTAAGTGTTCTGGATAATTCTCTGAGGAATCCATATATATGTGTGTATATATATATATATATATTTATGGTTGTGTGTGTCAATAATAGCATTTTATTTCTAATGTTAGATAAATTATCTTGGTCATATCTATGTATACAGTTTGTAAGTATTTCTGTGTATATCTGCTGCTTATTTGCTTATGTGCTTATGCATATTTGCTTATGTACTTTGCCACTTTTCTTTAATTATAAAGGAATGACAAACCTGAATCCAGTTTATTACAAAAAGAGATGTACTTAAAGCTTTAAGAACTCAAACTTAATATAAAATTAAAAATGAGACTTTTGATGCACAAACTCAGAGTGAAGATATTAGGTGGCTTGCTTTAGGTTTCTAAGATTCCCGAGGGCAGGGAGAGCACTGATCTTATCTGTCCTTGAACACTCCAGCATCTAGAATAATGACTAGCACGTTGTAGTCTCAATAAATATTCTCACAATGATTGAATAAATAAAAGAATGTTAGTTTTCTGCTTTCTCCCTGCTCCATCACAGAAAAGAACTTCCCAGTAAATAAAATACAGTGCTTCTCTATTCGTTGGACAGAATTAACTAAACAAATTTTTCTACCTTGATCACTTTTCTCCAAAACGCTGAATTGGCCAAAAAGTTCTTGTAAATCTTTGTTCTAGGTTTTCAAGAAATCCTTGGAAAAAATAGTCCTTTAACAAATATATTTGGAAAAATTGTATATTTTCACCTCTATAGATGCATATCAGTATTTTAAAGTCTTAGATATAATCCTACAAAAAAGGAAACCTGAAAAACATTTTTAGCAGAGCTTTTTCTAAACTTCTTTGTCCAGAGGACTTTTTGTTCAGCTGCCATCCGTTAGTCGGGCAGCAGATTGTATGAAATGGGCCTGGATGCCCACAGACAAAGATCTCAAGGAAACAGACGTCTCAGGCACGTGTAGGGACAAAAGGACCACAAAAATCAGAAGGACCCATCCAGGATTAGACAGAACAGGAATGGAGGCTGAAGAGCTGACTCCCAGGTTTCCAGAGAGGTTTGGACACCTGCCACATCAGTTCAGGAGGAGAAGGCCGAAAAAAAATAAAAAATAAAAAGGAGAAGGACGGCTCAGGTGGCCATGGGTGGTTACCCTTTGGTCTTAAAACAGGATGACTGGGAAGAAGGGGAGAAGCCCCAGGTTCAAAAAGGAACTGTATAGATTCCCCAAGCAGGACCTTAGCGTGGGGGCAAGGTATTGATAGATTCCCATTTATACCAACTGGGGCACCCAGAGGACGTGGGAGAAAGGGTTTCAAGACTGGACACTGAGGTATGGGCACCCCCTTGTTAGAACAAGAACTGTGCTGAGGATGGGAGCGAAGGTGAGAAGATGCCGTCATCCTGGCTGGTCCATAAAGCACAGCTCTAGAAACGAGAAGGGCGTTCAGCAGTTGGCCTTGGATGCAGAGAAAGTCAGACTCAGCGGTAACGACTCAGGTCAAAATGTAGGAATTCCGTGGTGTAGCTCAAGAGGTGTAACTCTCAGTGCAGACCAACAGGTAAGGGCCCGGACACCTGTGGGACAGCGCCTGAAGACGGCTAAGGCTCGCCCGCCTCAAGGTTGCAGCCTCACAAAACCACGAGTCGGCTAAGATCTAGAAAAGACAAGGGCAGAGGAGACAGGCAGGGACGAGCCAGGGTTTACCCCCCACTCTGGGTCAATAAGGCAGCCTGTGGCACCTGCTCAGTGATTGCCTACTGGCTTAAAAGAGTTAGCGCACATGATTGTACATAATCTGCATGACTGGCATTTCCAAAATCGTCAAGCTTTGGCTGATAAATCCGAACCACTTCACAATTTCTATTTATTATAGTGTTCCTGAAAAATGACCTGCATTATAATGTTTCCCCAAGTCATAGACTTACATGCTCAGGAGACAGAACAAGATTGTCCAAGGTCATACGGAAAGTCCGTGTCTGTGCATTAGCTCGCTCCACAGATGTTTGAAATCTGCTAGCGAAAAATGATAGCTTTTCATCAAATATAGATGGCTGAGCACATGAAGACATTATCAGAATATAAACACCTACAGATACGCTTGTTATGAAATACATTAGTGCATTCAGAGATTTGAATCATGCCTTCATGAGTCATGTTCAAATAATAAATAAACATGAGGCTTTTGTACAACTGTTTAATGAGAAGGGTGATCAAAATGAAGTACAGAAGATAGCTAGACAAAGAAGAAATGTCCTGACTAGATTGAAGCAGTTAGATATGTTGCAGAAAATTTAGGGGAAAGGTGTGGTTTTGATGGGCACCTGTCAAGAAATAAGGATTTTAAGGCCAACAAAATTGAGGTTTTGTTGCCAAAAGAAACTAAAAAACTTGTCAAAATGGCAAGAGGTTCCATACTCAGAAAAAGGGGTCACAGAGTGTAAAAAGAGACCCAGTTTCCAGTCTGTATTCTATGGCTATCAGTTTTTTAATTACTTCCTATCACTGTAGTGTGTCCATTTGTATCTGTATATATGCATGTGTACATTATACACACACATATTTAAGGTGTTACAAAATGTTTTGTTTTTCTCAAGGAGTTCCAAAATGTTAAGAGTAGCTATTAGCAGGGGATTATCAGGGACCTTGACTTTACATTTTACATAATGATCTATTGTTCAAAATTAATAACAATAACTTGTACTACTTTTATAGTTGGAATAAAAAATGCTTCCTTATTTTAAAGGCTCATTGAAATAACTTGTTTTATAGAATTAGAATTTCTCTCTCTGTGATTTTCCCCCTTATTCTGGAAAATCATTCTTTAGTAAGACTGAAGCTAGTACAAAGTAAGCAAACAATTTTATGAAAGACAAAATGGAAAGGGCCCCTGTGCTTCCAATTATGCTGTTTTAAAATATGAAATTATTTAGAATTAATTAGAAATTAATTAGAATGTTACAACTGCATCTGATTAAACCGTACTGATGATTCATATTTTCATCAAGTTTATACTATAAGATCCTCCAGAAAACATAATTACTCAGATGGAAAGAAAAAAAAGTTAAAAGCAATAGAATGCTGCATAGATTTGGCCTAAGATTCTCAGATCTTTTTATTACACTTATAATAGCCCGTAGAACCAAAAATCAAACACTGGAAAATCAAACACTGAAATAAAAGTAGATAACAAAAATTCAGAAATGAAAGAAATTTTCATTTTCCTACATGTAAAAGGTGTAAGCACCCATATTTTCTGGAAGAAAACAATTTGCCCCATTGCACAAATTTCTATGTGATGTCCTTTAACAAAGTTAAAGCATTCTGAGAAATGTTGTTCTTATATGAAACACAACTGGTTTAAACAAAGCAAACCAATTTATCATAAAACGTCTCATAATTTTAGTGAGCTAATATGCAATTTCACTTCTCAGGAGGATATATTATGCAGCGTTTCCAAAACGCACATAAGAGAAGTATCCCCTTTTTTAAAAAAAAAACATTTTGCAGAACTACTGTCCTGAGGTATGCATTTTAGCAACTTTTTCTTCCTGTTGAACTGGGTCTTACTTTCTGCTCTCGTTCCCCATTTGGGGCCTGATTTACTTGAGGAGTACTATGGAGAGTATCAATTTTACCATCTTTATAGAAATTTCCATCTTGAGATGTTTTGCATGAGATTATAAAAGAATAGGCCCTTAGAATTCAAATGTCCCTGGACAGGTAGCAAAATTAGAATCCTCAGTATAGCTTGCACAGTGAGACAAGTTCTAGTGGATCTTCCTTCGAGCAAGACATACATTACATTAAATTTCGATCAAAATAAGATTTAGGGCTCAGACCGTTCTAAGGGAAGGTAAGCTCTAGTTGGAGGACCCTAGGGAGTAGGAAGATAGAGTAGAAGCAGGAAAACAAGAATTGATGGGCAGTCAGAGTCCTGGCTGAAAACACACGCACCTTCGAAAGGAGGAGCTGAATGAATGACTTTAATGGAGTGACTATTGACAGAGGTGCAGTCAGGCTAATGGGAAGAACAGACACGGTGAAGCCCTTGCCAGGTAACAGCAGAGGGAGTCCGTGACAACTCCTAGGCTTCAAGGTACTAGAGGAGTGTCAGTTACTGGAGCCAAGTGAGACGTGTAGCTGCGAGAAAGGGCTGCCAGGCAGGGACTATGGCCTTGTTAACACACCACAA